ATCTCATTCTGAGAAAAATATACTTCAAATTTTTAAAAACTTTTATTTTTTATCATACTGGTGTGAAAATTACGTAAACCTGTGAAATCTTAGAAAATTTTTTACATGTACGTTCTTGTATGAAAGTGTTGTCGATTCAATTTCTCTTTAAATTCTCTTTCAACATAAATTTAATTTTATGAATTGTAATATTGTGTTAACTTGAAATTTATTTTATTTTAAGATTGACTGTTATAATTCAATGGAAATTTCAGATTTTCATTTCATTTAGTAACAATCTTTTTTTTTTATTGTTGCGCAACAAATAATATTATTATGTCATTCTATTCAAACACCTCAAAATATTTTAAATACATTTTTTTTGTATTGATATTGAACTAAATAAATTATGAGATTAAAACTTCCTTAATTATTACAAAAATTCTACTTAATATAAAATTTTCTACATACATATTTTGCGTACTTAATATTGTCGAATATAAATTTCGTCCGATTCCTCTTAATACGTAATCCAAAAATTATACTCGTACATATATTCGTACATTATGTATGATATTCATTTTTTAAATCATCTGTTTCAAAATTATTTTTGATTTGCCACAAAGAAAAAAAAAATAAATATTGCAAAAATTAAACATTTACGTACATTATGTATGTATATACTCATGTACGTGAAATATTATTTGTTATAATACGCATAATCATTTTGCAACACTATTAAATCCGGAAAAGATAACCTAAAATTTTTGTTATCAAACAAAATAAAATAATCAAATCAAACAAACATAATGAACCGAATAAGAAAAATGAATTCAAATATTAAACAGTCACCCAAGCCCAACAAAACGGAAAAAATTTTTTTTCTCAAAACAAAAAGAAAAATAACAAAAAAAAAATAATTTTGATGTCTCTGACTCTCCGCCTCTCCTCTCTCTCTCATACAAAGCAATACAACAGAAAATTTTTTGAATCGAATTATCAAAAAAAAAAAAAACAAAAAAATATTTAGATGATAAAAAAATTCAGAAAAAAAAAAAATAAAACAAAAAATTAACAAATTTAGGCCAAGGTGAGACGCTACCTTGAAGTTGAAGACCAAATTCAGATAGTTTTTTTCTGTTTTTATTCTTAATTTTTGTTATTTTTTTTTTTTTTTATTTTCCTTGCTAATTGTTTTTGTTGTTATTTCGCATTATAAAATTTTGTTACGCATCAAAACTTTATGTATTTTGTTGTGCGCGCGCACACACTTATTTAAAAGTCGCTCTTCGGATTTAAAGATAAGAAGACTTTGATTGTGATGACCTCGACAATCAGTTTTAATTCGGTTTTGTTTTTTTATTGGTTTTTATTTTTTTTTTTGTATTTATTATTATAAATCTTTTTAATATAAAAAATGTTAACCAAAAAAACAAAAAAATGAAGCTGTAAATGTTGCTAGGTTGGGTTTTTGTTATTTAAAACTTTGTTTTATGTTATTCATGTATAGATGTTGTGTATGTAGCATGTTTGTATGGAAGTATGTATGATGTGATGTCTGATGAAGCTGGACTTAATTTTGTTATTATTTTAATTTTCTTGTTTTTAGTGTTTTTTAGTGACTTACGAGAAATTAATTTTATTAATGTAGATTTCAAAAAAATTAATGGTTACGCGTTTTAAATGATCAATTTTTAGTAATTTTCTCCTTTTTAAATATTTTTTTTGTTTTTATTTAATTTTTATTAATTTTTTTTTGGTGTTGTTAGTTTTGGTTAATATTGTATTACTATAATATAACAGAATTGATGATAGATAAGATCGATTGGTATTGTTTGGTCATCATTACTATAATGTTCACATAAATAAATAAATATGATGTAAAATGTTCGTAGGTAGTGTCGGTTTTTATTGATAATAATAAATTGTTTCGTTGTTTTATTGATGATTGTTAAGATTAACAGTAGTGATTGAAGAATGAAACAAGTTATTAAAGAGATTCTAGACAATTTTTAAAACTGTAAAAGAAAACTAAAGGTAAGTACAATTTAAGTTAAAAAAACTTTTAATGATCAAAAAGTATTACATATTTTAGACGAGAACGAAAACAACAGACATGCTTTAACATTTTAGACAAATTTCATTCCAATAAGAGCTCCGAAGAACGGTTTTCGAAAATAAAATAAAATGAAACCAATTTTATGTAGAACACCAGAGAAAATTTCGAAAAATCAACTCAAATCGACAAGTCTTTGAAGAAATTCGTGAGTGATTTGCTTTTAGAAAGGTAACTAAAGGACTCAAATCACAGCCTCTAGATTACGCATATGATATCTGCCTTCTTTCATATCTGCCTTGTTTCATAAGAATAGCGACATGCAGAGCAAATTAAAACAACTTGAATTACTTGCCAGAAATGTGGCTCTATAAATAAACATAGACAAAACTAAGATAATGAAAATGAATTCCATCAGCACCGTCAGTTTGGAACTCAATAGCTAACTATCAGAGTTCGTTAGCAGCTTCTGCTACTTAGACAGCTTCATAACACCGGATGGCGCGGTCCAAGCAGTTGTAGATAACAGACTGAAGAAAACAAGAGCAACGTTTTGCAGGGTTTAATAGATAGGGAGAAGCAGCTAGATATCAAAAACGACTAACCTTAGAATAATCCGGTCTTGTGTAAAATCACTTGACTAAAATAAAAATATGTCAGCTAGAAGCTGCAAGTGTTCATCAATGCATCAGAATAACATGTCGAATATTCTTATATACAAGGATGATAATAGGCGAGGAACTTATCGGTAGACAAATAAGAAAAAGAAAGCGGAGATGGATTAGATATACTCTAAGAAAATCCGGCAATAGTAACGCTAGAATGAGCTTGGAATGGAACCTGCAAGGTTCAAAAAGATTGTGCAGCACCAAGCACATTTGAAAATTTGTAAAGTTAGAACTAGAAAAATCAGATCTAATATGGGATCATGTCAAGCAAATAGCAAAAAATAAATTGAGGTGGAGATGTCAAGTGGAAGGTCTACATGCTCCCTTTAATTTAGTCAGGTTTTGATTTTGCTTGTTTGAATAATCACAATGTCGTAAGCTCACACACTCACTCATTTTATATTAACACTAAATTAATTTTATATAATAACATTATTTATGTTGCAAGCTTATACTCAATTCATTTAACGTAAAAGAAAGAGACGAAATCAAAATCAATTAATTAATTTGTTGTTATTTATATTAGAGAAAAAAAATCTAAAAAATTCGTAAACTAAAAATAATTTTAACCACGTCATTTGAGTTGAACCATCAAACTTTGGTTTTTTTTAACTCTTCTACACGTACATACATATATGAATTTTGTATATAATTGAAAATTTGATGATCAGCAGCACGGTTTACAATTTAAATTGATGACTGAACACATTATGATTATAGATTATACCTTTTTTATACCATAATAATGTTGTGCGCTTTTTGATAAAATTGAAAATTTCTTAATCACCTTAAAACATTCATACACAAGCTAAGACATAGCAATTACAATATAAAAGTGGGTAAAGCATGAAAAAAGCTTTGACATGAAAAACAGAAAATGTTACATAATCGCTGATCAATACAAAAATTGTATGTGATGTTTTAAAGGGATATTTTTAAAGGGTTTGGACCAATGCAATTTCAATTCAGTCGAAAATAAAGGATAGGTTACTGACTTCTTTTCATATTTTCATTATTAATTTTTTCTCTTCATTTAATGTTGCGTACACAATAAGACTTATTTAGTGGAATAAAGAAATTGTGTGCCAATTAAAAAGTGAGCGGAAAAAGCAAAAAAAGAAAATATTTTTTCGCATAATGCATAATGTGTGAACTTGGGGAAAAAATTGAAAAATGGCCTATCCTTTAAATAAGGGTTTGGACTCTTTTTTTTTTTTATGATATCACAAATCTTCTTAGACATTGACTCGGCATTGTGCATTTTATAAATTACATATAGGTAATATGTAAATTAAAATCATTTAAAGATGACTTTGAGCTAAATTTTTAATTAAGATAAGAAAAATATGTCAAGTTTATAAATCGAAAAAGGATTTCTTTTTTCTCGGATTGTCATATTGTAATTTAAAGTATGCAATTAAATTAAAATTGGGACAAAGTCATATTTAAAAATTTCTTAGACATGAAGTGTTAAGTAATAATTAAAATAGTTAATATTCGTGTTTATGCTCAAATTAGTAATCTAATTATTTAATATACACCATTAAAACTTATATGAGCTTAAATGAGCTCATTCCCATAACCGAAAATGTGAATTATGGTCACGTCTAAGAGAGAAATTCAACAATAATCAAATTAGATTTTCCTAATATTAATAATTAATAACAACCGCAATCATAATAATTTTGAACAACAATCTAATTAGCAACACTAAATAATGCTCAAGTTATTGAACCAACATTATTTGCACCTAATCATGCAAATAGTATGAAACAAATGTTTTTTGAATAAAAAAGAAAACCGTACGAACGTATGTATGTTCGAAGGGGTATACTAAATTTGCCTTACCGTTTTTAATGCTAAGAACTAACCGCCTGAGATACGATCTCAATTTTTGGTCAGCATCGTATTCTTAGTTGATTTAGTTTTGTCTGTCCGTCCGTTCGTCCCAACTATAACTCAAAAACTAATTGAATTAAGTTCACCAAATTTTCACTTCAATAATTTATTATAGTAAATACCAGAATCCTATTTAAATTGGATATGATCGAGATACTGGTTCGGGTAGCTGCTATACAACTTCAAAATTTATTTAGCTATATCTCAGAAACTATTAAAGCTGTGGTATTGTAATTTCACAGGAGTGAATATATTAGTATGGCCAATATGTTTGTTAATAGTCGTTGAAAATGCTCGGCTTCTTCTGATAGCTGTCATACAACTTCAATAGAAGTTTGGCTATATCTTAGAAAATATTGGAAACACTTTTATAATTAAGCTCTTTATTAATTTCTTACCTTATTTAAATTAAAAAAGCTTCAGTTTGCTTGAACCTGAAATCAAAAGAAGAAAATAATAATTTTAGTTGATTCAAATAAAATTTAATTATTAAATATTTTTTCAAAAACAAAATAAGCGTAACGCTCTTATAATGCAAAAATAACAGAAATGAAAATGGCTAGGAATCAGCTTGAATTCTCTTGTGACTTGTTATGAAAAAGATTTGGCTTTATAACAATTTTCAAAATATAAATGCAATAAAATTCATTGACCAATAATTCTGGGTATGAAAGCAGTCAACTCTAGGGCTCGTCTAAATAAATGCCTAATATATAATAGAAAATTTTATTTATTCAGAAATTTAAATTGCATTTTTGTAGGAGACAAATTATGATTAAATCTGTACTATTTATATAAGGTATATAAACGGTTTCGTTTTTCAGGTAAGTATTTCCTCTTAACACAGAAGAAACACAGAATCTACTTCGCTAAATTCGCAATGTATGGGATAATTATCTTGCCATCATAGTGTAGGAGAAGGAGCGGTCTTGTGGGCGGAGGCTCACACGTGTAGGGTGACCAGGGCAATGTGGCATATCAGGGACGAAAGGAGGACGAGGAGGCTGTTGAGATATAATAGGGCTGATCTCAGCATACTGGTGAGGTCCTGACGGGGCATTGCCTTTTGGGGAAAATGGTATGGAGGCTTGGGGTTGCTATGATGGATGTATGTCGTAGATGTCGGGATGTGACGGAGGTGGAGGATATAGAGCATGTCCTCTGTGCCTGTCCGTTTCTGATGTTAGAGAAGGCGCGTCTTGGAAGCTTATTTTTACGTTGGCCTCGGTGACCTTTCCGGGGTGTCTCTTGTGCGGCTTTTGGAATTCGCCAGGGAGGTTGGCTGCTTTGGAAAGGGGGTCTTGTGTGTCGAACTGCATGGGGGTTGTTGGGTGTTTTTGGGGTTGCCGATGGGCCTTTTTCTGTTGGCCTAGTGCAAAACTTTGCGCGGGTGTACGGGTGGAGCCCCCCTCTCTTACTTACTTACATATGGGATAATGGGCAATTTCCTTTTTCTTATGATTATTATTCTTCGTAACGATTGTATGTCTTTGGCGTAAAAGGTCATATAAATTTATTTTCTTTGCTTTGAACATAATTTTGGACAAAAATCATAATTTAATGTTATTAATGCATATACGCTTAATATATTCGTTAATAATAAAATTTCAAAAATTATATTTTTGTTTAACAATTTAATAAATTATTGGGAATTTTAAAAATTTTCTATTAATAACCTCTTATTATTTTTAAAATTTATTTAAAGGTGATAAATTTTGAAGAAAACAAGCAATACTACTAATTTTGCAATTATTTTTTTTTTTTTTTATAAAAATAATTACAAATTATTTAACTAAAAGAAAAAATATTGCAAAACTTCAATAGCTTTAAAAATGTCAACTTTACATACATACATACACATACATTACAATATTCAATATAAATTTCCCACTATTGCAAAAATTTCTTAATTTTCATGTTCATTAATTATAGAGTTCGTTTTCATTTTTTAATTTTATAACCGAAAAAAAAACTATATATGCTTAAAAAGTCATTAAAAAGTCATTTTTGTTGCTAAAAACTTGATTTTTATTAAAAAAAAAAAAAACAATTTAATAAAAATACTATAATTTTTTAAAGTTATTGTTTTCAGCGAAAGTAATTTTTTTTCTTATTATTTTTTTTTTTTGTAAAGGCAATGCACTTTACGGTGAAATGCATTTTCTCATTTTACTTTCTTTCGCACTTTTACATTCGCCTATTCACCATTTTTTTTTTATTATTTTTCTGTTGTTGTTGTTATTCTTGTATCCATTTTATTGTTGCAATAAAATCAAAAAAAAAAATGCAAGTAAAAAATTTTTAATCAAAAATTAACAAAACATAAAACATAATTCTACAAATTGTTAAATAAATAAATATGGAAATATTTATGTATGTATGTGTAATTGAATTTGTCTTCCCACAACTTTATATAACAAGAGTATATAAAGCATAATAATATGAAGAAGTATTAAAAGTAAATAATCGTGAACAATAGAAAAAAAAAACAAGTAAAATAGAAAATAGCATAGAAAAATAAATCAAAATAGAAAAGAAACCACCAAAATGCAGTAAGGAAACTTTTAAAATAAAATTTGAAACGAAAATTATATTGTTGCACATAATAATATGTAATGTTACTTATATGAACAAACAGAATATACATACATACATCCAAATGAATAAGAAACAGATCATTTTTCAACATAATATTTGTTTTAGGCACTTATCAAATTAATATAAGAGAGAAATATTAAAAGCAGAGTCGAATTACAATAACAAAAACATAATAATAATATTTAAAAAATCACAGAGATCACAGCAGATCGACACATAATTCGCCACCGTGTACATTGTCTAGTTTAGTGAAAGTGGTACAGAAATTTATGAAAATGGGTTTTTAATTTTTCTTTACAATTTTAAGGATACTAGTAAGCCCTTACTTAATATTCTTCAAAAAATGTAAATTTTTCTCTTCGCGTTTTGTGGAATTCGAATTAACTGAAGAAATCACCAGTTAGTTTCGGTAATAAATTTGGTGCCATCACATATTGTACGCAATGCAGTCGGTAAAAAATATTACTTAATTATTTATTACTTATATTTTGTATGAAAAATGTATAAACGTGTCTGTCATCTGTCCCTTATCAACTGTCTTCTTTCAACTGTCAAATGTGGTCTGTCATCTGTCAAGTGTCATCTGGCACCTGTCATCTGTCAGCTGTCACCTGTCAAATGTCAACTATCACCTGTCACCTGTCAAACGTCAACGGTCACCTTTTATCTGCCAAATGTCAAATGAAAAATGATAAAGTTTTATTTTGTACAATTTAAATACAGTGAATCAAAACTCAAATAACATATTTCGAACAACTCGAGTTTCATAGATATGGTAAAAAAATGGGAAATCGGCCCCTAGTCCGGTTCATTGTTTTAGAACCCCGAATTAAAATGTTGAATTTGAAGGAAATTGGTTGATTCTGCCACGTTATATTATGGCAAAAATGTAAAATGGGATAGCAAAAAGATCAAGTTCCTGAGGTCCGATCAATCCATCACATATACAAAATAAGCTTGCATATAAAATTTACTGAAAATCGGTTAAGCTAGATTTTAGATACACGCTAGCACACACAGGTCGACAGACTGACAGATCGACAGGCTGACCGAACGACATCTCTCTAAAAATAGTTTATATTCCCTACTATGGGTTCCCATCAAAAACTTGTAATCCGAAATTTGGTGCAAAAACGTATGCAATGTTATATTACTCAAAAAAGCTTCGAAGTATAAAATTTTTTTAGAATAATTATAGGAACATTATTAAATATTTTCAGCAACATTGATATTTCTCAAGAGAGTAAACAACAAATCTTTAAAATATTCTCTCTGAGCACAAAATAATAATTTATTTACAAAACTATCAACATTATTTATAAACATAATTACGATTTATTGCTACATATACCAACTCATTGAATTTTAAAAGCTATAAATTTAAAAATACAATAATTGTTGTATGCAAGTCATCACAATATAAAATTATTATTAATAAAATATTGTTTAAATGGAGAATGGAGATATTAAAAATAATTTTAATAGCACAAGACAAGAGTATAAAAAACTCGGTATTTGTTGAGAGAATTTGAGATAAAAATGAAATTGAACAAAAAATTCATGAATATTGTACTAAAATGTTGAGAAAAGAGAAAAAATGTAGATAAGGAAGAGCGTGTATTAAAAGCAAAAGGAAAAAGGAAAAGAAAATAAAAACAAATTTATTGTATTTTACATAGAGAAAAATGTAGTTATTAACTTATATGTAGATTTTAGATATTGTAAATCGAAAATATATATAAAAATAATAGATAGATACAAAATATGTACAAGTTTGTCTAAATAATTTGAATTTTTCTCAAAACCAAATGAAAGAAATTCTTTGATTTGTTATGAAAAGTTTAAAATAATTATAAAATATTTCATGTTTCATTTAACCTAGGCATGGGTGACATTTGAAGCTGTTAATTTCATAAGAAATCTATTCTTATTCAAATTATCGAAACGTTGCAAAGTACGCAATTCACTAATTTCAGTTCGATCGTTATGACAGAAATATTTTTAATTTTTTTCTTCTCCTCCTTGTAATATGCAATGATTGAAGAGTAATTTCAATAACAGAATGTCTTTTAATAACTAAAACTGTTTACAGGAAATGTGCTACTTCCGAAACTATGCGATTTGAATTTACTTTCTCATTGTTTTTATTTTATATTTTGTCATAATAAGTTTCTTATGTAAACGCAATTATATTTTCATAATATGTAATATAATGTAATAATAACGATTGCTACGATGATAGCCATAAAATAAAGATATAAACATCATAATATACACATATACCTACACACATTACATTCATTCTCAATGAGTTTAATGTTGAATTTTTCTAAAATCTCTTTTTCTCTCTAATATAAAAAAAAATATTTGTAAAAATGTAATATTATGTTCGTCAATACCCAAGTATGCCATAAACATTGTAAACATGTTTTATTCAATACCATATTTGATAATAAATTGAGTATTGAGTTGTTGCATGCTGTATGAAGATGAAATTATTATTTATATTAAGTTTCAATGAACTTGAGGGCATATATGTATATACAATGTACAGCTATAAGTATAGTATAAGCTAAGATGCATTTTTTTAAAAGAGAACAAAAATATAAAAAATTTTCTTAACATTGTTGTTTTTGTTATGTTTTTTTTTTGTATTTATTTGAAAATAAAAGAGAGAGAGAGAATGAATAAAAGGAGAAGAAGAGAGAGAGAGAAAATATGAACCGGTAAAAGAAGCTTTATAATCGTAAATATTACCTGCAAAGAAATGCAATAAAAGAAAATGAAAATTTACGATTCAACTTTGTGTATAAATGGTTTTTATGTCTTTATGCTA